AATGTAAATTATTTATGTAAGTTAATATGATGCTGTCAGATAGTTAATCTCCTATATACAACATAAGATAATGCACAAATGCTTTATATCTTTCACTGTAGCATTCACATGTACAATTGCATGTACATTCAGAAACAACTGAAAAAATGATTCATCTTTTTCACTAAATGCATGTTGAAAAGCACTTTTTCTTTGGACTCACTAGGATTATAAAACAGATATAATCTGTTTAGACTCTCCTAAAATACTGGACAGCTTACATTTGACTACAAGAATGGATCCCATCATTTTGTAAAGAACACAGAAAATGCCAAAACAATCTGTTAAATAGTCTCATATAGGTAGAGATTAAGAAATCATGTGTAGCAATAGGTTTAAGGTGAACCCAGGTAGCATGAGCCTGCCTATCTGACTGACATAGCACAGAACATAAAGCACATAATTGTTCAGTAGTCCCCTGCTACAACCTTAATGAGATATGGGTATCTGATTCACATTATACAAGATATCTCAGTATAACAATCTCATATTCTGTCTAAAGCCTTTTATCATCTATATTCTTCTTTTAGCATTTTCAGACAACAGGGCCTGTATTCAAGTTCTGACACTGAGAAGGGAACAATGATGTGGGATACAAAAATAAGAACGGAAACCTTGCTTTGTATGTACACATGAAGATAACTCCAGTCAGAACACAATCTACATCTAAACAAGACCAGATATCCTGCACATATAGTCAAATAGATCTTTTACGAAAGCAGAAAGCTATTTTTACAAAAGGGTTGTACAATGAGCTTAAGGAACAGTGAGATAAGTTAATCCACACAACTGATTTCCTCTAACAAGAGGTCATTCTGGCCCCCTTAATATGCCACATACTGACATCATTGGATAACACTACACTAACAAAAGTTGCCATTATGCTATATCAGAATGCGAAAAGTAGCCCACTTAAAAACACAATCTTAGAACAACCCTGGATTGTGCCACACCATGTATCAGATGTACTTACAATAACAATTACACTGTGCTTATACTATTACTTACAAGATGCTTTTAATTTTCTTAAGAGGAGTACATAATCTGAAATCTCATTATAAGGTGCTAGACGTACACACAAGATTAGATAGGACAAATCTGGAGATTCAACTCTTATGCTCAGTTGGGATGATCATGTTCCCAAAGCCAGCTTCACTTGAAACAAAATCTAGTCAAATACTATATTATTGACAGAGAAACATGTAAAAAATACAAGAATGACTGAGACCTCACATTATGAGTAAGTTTGATACTGTCAAACATGTGCAATCTGTTATATTTGTTGTTTCATGATGATTGATCTCCCACTTATCACACAGGGGAAAACATAAGTGGATCCTAGGTGACACAAGTGTATCTTACTATTTATGGGAATCAGGGATATTTTTTAAAGATAGGCATCAGCTACTGCTGTTACATCCTTTTATATAATGGCACACTTTGTGGCGATTAATTGGATATATACAGCAAATATAAAGGCTTCTTTAAAAACTTTGGGCAAAATGTTTAATATGCATTGAATCTTGGGTGGGAGTCATAGGGCATAAAAAGTGATGAGAACTGACACAATAACAGAACATGACATCTTAAAAAGGGATGCCTCTCATTTGTGTTTTATAATAGGTCATTTCGATCATTAATGTCACTTTGATTGAATTTGTAAAGGTGACGATACAACAAGGTGGTTTGGGCCCTATATGTCACTCAGCGAGCCACTGAATTTTAAATTCAAGCATAACATCTAAAAAACGAAAAGTTGTCAAACAAAAGAATTAACTACGAGAAATGGTAAAAAACAAGCAGGGGTTTTCTAGTGTCTTTTCTGGTGCAGCAACTTGGAATAATTTGCCAATTTACTGTCATTAAATTCAAATTAACGCTACAGAAATCTCATGTTTGATGCATCTACCGCACTAACACCTGAATTTAATAAAAGCTATTTAAAAATTATTTCGGATGTGAGTATTCAAAATTGAAATCATCATTGAATCATACATGACAATGATGAGCAAAGTAGGATCCGGCTACAAGTTCCGAAACTGTGGTGTGAGGGATGTAATTACCATGCCACTGTGGTGACAAGCCCCAGCGCCAGGTCTGATACAGGATACGTGCCTGGAAATCCCCTGCTATGGTACCCCTCAACCAAACACTTTAGAATCCCTATGGTAGACTTGGCACACTAAAGTTATAATTTCATATGATTACCATCCACCGTTATAAAAATTTTCACTTGACTGATTTTTTTACCTTCAAATTGTTGTTTGCTGCATTTGGCAATAATATCCCTGTAGTTAGGTATGGACTTATGAATTTATAACTGAGATCTGGACTCCTACACATGAGCTCCATGGAGGAAAGTTAAGATGATTTGGCACGGGTGTAAGTGTTGGTGTGGAAACCTTATCCATCATAAGGTTAATGTATGGTTTGAAAACTGAAAACTGACCACGTCTCCGTTAATATGCTGGCCTGGACTAAACTCGACTGATGTCATAGCAATTTCTATCAAATCCTAATACTTTAATTTAGCATGTAATATGGATATTGAAAAGAAAATTCACATTGAAAATTTGGAAAGTCAAAAATGCATAGTTATATAAATTTAAATAAAACATAGTTATATAATCAGGACAAATTGAATCTGGCTCAAATAGGAAAGACGTCATAAAGATGTCATTGGTTTTGTTCTGCTTATTGTCAACAAAATTTGATTTTCATAGAATTAGGTCACTAAATTCAAAATAAAAATGTTGCAAAGTAGGTTTTGTGAGAACATATCTTAAGAAACTAAATCATTCTGAATAAATAAAAATTCACCCCCTCCCCCTTCAGCCTTCATCCAAGAAAAATCTATATTTGACATCTACATCAGATATATAGCTATAAGAACACAATTGTTTGGAACCTAGACCATCTAGACTGTTATACACAAATCACAATGATTATTGTTAGAGGTGTGGAGAGATTTTCACACTTTATATTTGATGAACATGTAGTGCACTTTCTTGTGTTTACCTTCTTATTAACGCTAGGAAATAAAACACTTCACAGTTGAGCAAATGAATAGATACACACAGTATATAAATACTGATTGTTCCAAACACATAACATTGTTTGTTAGATGTCTAATTTCAAAGGTATGTGCTGTGTATAATTACAGATAAATGGACCTTATTAATCTATTAATAATTATTAGTCTGTTTAATTCGGATAGCCAGCAGGTGACACCAGTACATGTAAATTATAACATGGTCGCCTTTATATGAACTCATAAATAACATCTATATCATTTTTATCTTAGCAATATGATAAATAAATACAATATCATTCCCCGAACTGACCTCAAATGCATTTGGGTTTACAAAACAGGTTACTACTTTCTAAAATAAGATTTTGCGCTTTCAATAATTAATATGTTGAAAAAATAAGATGAACTAAGGGGATGCCTCGGGATATTGGAACTATTACCAACTTTTCAATGTCTGATTTACTCTTTACTTTTCATCGATAGATAGCAGCGACTTTTTTCAAACTCACGCTATACTTGTGTAAAAATGTCATTTCGGTAAACATAAAAATTAAAGGGACTCTGATTTATATATGACGCTGTGTAACAAACTTTGAATAAAAAAGATTAAATCTAATATACTAAGTTATCATCTGAGTTGTATCTAGAAAAATAAATTAGATTTTATTTTTTATTGGTTTTGCTTTTATCTGTATTTATATCTACCTTGTATGCTATAAGCAGAGTTTGCCTGCCTGCCCAGGGTATGACATTGGGTTGTTAAAAATATCTACACAACTGACATTAATGTGGAAGGTTTACTATATTGAGGACCTGGGGGTTAAGACTTTACTACTTGAGTAAATGAAAGATATATTGGTAGATAGTGGATGAAATAGATGAATAGGGCAAATAATAATACACTGTTCATCTCTTTATTATACTATACTGGTGGCTTTAACATGGCATTAAGAAAGGTATGAACTCCCGAAAATAATAAGTTGCAGAGGGTGGAGATTAAATCCAATGAGATTAGATCCATTTTTACGAATGTCTCAGACTTAAACCTGTAAATGTTCATTACTCCAGAAGGATATGGATCAAATGTATCAACTTCTTGTTTGAAGGAGATATATATATTTTTGAAAAGTTTGAACTTTGCTAAAAAAAGATTTAATAATGCTTGTGTTTTGAATAAATCTTGGGTAATTATATATGTAAATATCAAATCAATAATAATATTATTTTTGGGGTCATATTTTTATACTAATTAAACTAAGATAATATTGAAAAAACAGATTTATTTTTAAACAAGGATATTCATTAAAGAGATCATCTACTTTCCAAGGATGCCATTATGAGAGGTAGTTAGATTTATCTGATATGTGAATAGGCTAATGGCCCATGAACAGTTAGGGTTAGAGCCATTCAGAAATAATATTCATTTCATAAATGGACATTGGGTTACAACTGTGGTGAACATGCTGAATCGCTGATGCTCTACCTTGCCCATGTATTGAAAACTTAAACCATATTGAAAAGGACTCAAAAGCATCATGTTTGCAAATGATTATTGAAACATTCATTGAGGTAAAGATGTTATCTACTGTCCTAGTTCCAACAAAAACCATGTTTCACTTGAATTAAGACATATACAATTAGAATTTGTTAGATTATGATTTACAAAGCCTTGTGACTGAGATACATGATAACTGTAGTTGCTTGGGGTCCAGGGACATTCAGTGCAAACAAACCACTTTTCACTATCTTTGCTATACATAGTATAATGTGAATATATATCCACAGCTGGCTTAGCCTTGACGTATTGAGTAAAACTGTACTCTGTCTTAATAAATGAGCTAATAAGATCTGAAGGTTTGTTAGAAATAAAAAGATAAATAGATAAGCAGAAATGGTGATGCATGATTTTGCATTTAGAAAACATACTCACCATCGAAAGTAACTATCCTAAAATCTTTAGGTCCATTTACGCTGGAATGAGTATCATCTTTTGATCCATGGAGAAATCCCAAAAGACACGATAATCCATGTAAAACAAACAGTGCTGCTCCGTTTTTGTACATTTTTCTAACTTTCACTTGTGTTCATAACTTGTTTAGTAGTCCATGTCACACTCCTTGTTAACTGGTCCCTGTTAAAACACACTTTATATAGTGATTTTGTAATAATCGGGTAGACTGAATCAAATGTGCGTATTCACCGTCCTAAAGATATAACTGAACTACTTCATGGGCCAACTCAAATGCCAAACATGGGGGTCGACTCAAAAACAGCTGCTGTACTGTTACCTTTATCTATACTATACTGCCATCTATATTTACGTTGGATTTCTTTTATACTAAAAAATGTACAGCGTACCTTACATATGAGCGATTTTAAAATGAAACCTATGCTTTTAATAAAGAAACCACTTCATAGAAACCACAATCTTATCTGTGCAAAAAATAACACCGAGTAAAGATAACATTTAACATATGATTTAACATTAACCCTTATTAAGCCATCCCTTCGAGGCTTTTTAAATTGATTACAGTTTGAAGGAATCGGGAAATCTGCAGTAAATCCAAGCATGAAGAAAACGTCCTTTAGAGAAATCCTAGGTAGAATTCAGACTTCAATCAAATCAATTTGTTTGATTGCGGAACAAAACCAACAAAATTAATCCTAATTTAATCCTTTGAAAATGTATTAGTACAAAATTACAGACTTCTGCTCTCTTTAATATAACAGAGATCCCTGGAATAACAGACTTCTAGCCAAATTAATAGAGTTCTATGTTACGACATATGGAATATATGCATATTAGTTAACCATTGCATCATTTGGAAGCATAAATGGATTTCTTTAATTGATATGTGTGTAATTTACATTGAGTGCACCTGATACTTTTCTGACCCGAGATTTATAATTATGAATCATATTTCTAAATGGAACATAATTATTAGATAATGGAGCTCTGTATCACTAATACGCTGAAAGTGTTACTTTAAGCAATAAATGTGATAACGTACCATCAATGAGATCCAGTTACAGGATTTTATTCTGACTTTGCTTGACTTTATATAATTACTGTTCGTCAGAAACAATGAATCATAATCTTGCAGGTTTTATTCAGCAGCCAGTGTTTGAATTTACATACACCAAGGGGCAAATTCCCTTTCTACAAGCTGGCAAATATGCTGTATATTAGATTCGCTACACAGCTATTAAGGAAAGTATTGTTATGAACTATTAAAACAACATATAATATGATTCGGTACTAAATAAATAGAAATGAAAATCTCAATAGGCTTGCTACCTGCCTTCGTTTAAATCACTTTATCATTTTGGCAAATATTATTGTGTACATTCAATAAAGCTTATAGTACACCTGTGTATGGAAAATGCAACTGAATCATATGTTACTTATTGCAAAAATTGACAAAATACCAGCTGAATCAAGATTTACGAATTTAATTTGTGTATGTAATTAAACATTCAATATGAATCTAGAAAGAATGAAAGTGATGTGTCATTTGAGCTGGTCCCTCTTTATATTTGGTCATATACTTATGAAGTTAAAGTGGATCTTAAACTGTCAGATAACAGTGCACTAAATCAGCCTTTATACCACTAGAATACAGGTCTAGTTCTCTATGACGTAAAATAGTACTATCTTGAAATATACACCTAGTCTCCTATCTATAAATTGTAACACCAAAACACATGCAAGCATTTCGGCAAACGTAAAAGAACAAGCCGTAGAATTTGGTTTATGTAGAATTTGGACTATTCTGTCTGTGCAATTTGATCAGATCACATGACATCTATTGCTTATTATTATTGGTCGATCCAGGTATGAGGTACGTACGCAAAGGTCCCGGCTATAATCTTTAGGTACACCTTTCCAGTTTACACAACATGCACACTAAAGCACCATAGAGTTGACAAGTATAAAGAAATAGTAAATAATTTACCCAACTAGTAATCACGTTGAATATAAGAATGTTGAGACAAGACCAACGTAGATGCCTTTAGGCTAACCTTCTTAGGAAATTTGAAAATACGAAACGTCATTATATTAAATAATAATAAATAATTCATAATAAATATAATTCCCAAAAACCAAGTTATATGGAATACAATTCAATTCAATTTATTTATTCCTTGATTATCATAATTATACAATGAACATAAATACCTTTTTACATTTAGATTTTGGGACCATTTCCATGAAACTAGATGTAACTCCGCTACTCATCAATCAAGAGATCAAATTCAATTATGAGATAATCCCTAAACACAATTGTTGGTCAACAATTCAAAATTAAATTGTGTAAACTTTTCACTCCCATGAAACTATGGTCACGTGACAGGTATTTGACGTATACTTCCCACATATTTTGTAGAAAAAGACCGACATGTATAATTGATTATTACAGACTACCCTCTTTGTTCGTCAAACAATTCATTTTATTGAAATAGATAAAATACTTGATATTTGGTTTATTAGCTATAAATGTTTTCTAAACATTTATGTTTAGATGAAAGATTGAAATTCGAGGACAGTATTTAGTCGTCAACAAAGTAAATAAAAAGAACTCCTGCACTGTCACGATTTAAGCTATACAATCCACTTTTGAACAATTGAGAAAATTCCTTATTGACTACCATTCAATCTGGAGGTTACAACCTAGAAGTGACAATTAGTGAGATAAACGGCATCTATCGGTTCCTGGTTGGATGTAATCTTGGACCACGTCTTAATTTGATTATCTCAATTATATCCTTTAACATGTACTCTCTCGATAATACACAATGATTTCCTCTTGAAAACCACTATCGACATAAATGTTTTGCTGCACGTTGCAATACTTAGAACTTCTTTATTAACACATAGATCTTCTTCTTGACAACTGTTTTATGAGTATTACGTGTGACAAATCATTAAAGTACGTGTGTCACATCATTAAGCCATATTAATCAACCAAAAAGAACTCTTCAATCAAGGGGTCAGAAAAAGTAGCTCATAGCCAATTTTATTCTCTATACCATAAATGGTCCTTTTCCCATTTAGCTTTGAAATCTCGTTAAAGTCTCGTTTTTAATGAGATTTTAGGAGATCTGCATTTTTAACCATTAAAGACTAAAAGTTTCTTCCATTTGATGGCATATTCGAATTCCCTGTGTAATTTTCTATCAAAACAACTTTGATTTGCACTGTTATTCACCTTTATTCAAATTCTAATGCTTTTCTAGATATGTAAAAAAGGTCGGGCTAAATCCCCATTGACACAATGCTGAAAAACCTTTAAATGTTCATTTACTCCTAGAAGGATCACAATTTTAATGTGAAATCACAATCCACATGTCAATAAGATCATAAAGTTACATTCCAATGGTATTTTATGTTTATCCAAATGGAATTACTTCTTAAATCAAGAATTAATTAAGTGACTCTGGCAATGGCATTTACATGTATTCTAGCCCTACCATAGCCCTACCAATACCCATCTTGCCATCTATTTTCCATATGGAATGTCAATCGGGAGAAGAGGAATAAATAAATCTAAAATTTAAATTTAATGGATAATAACCGTATCATCAATAACAGACACTTTTCAGAGACATTACAATTATTACCATTTCGCAAAAGAACGTCAAAAAGATATGCCAACCTGGTAAGGTGATGTTTGGAAGCATGTTATTGTAAAACCAGCTAGATTTTATGAATTTCAGAAATTGGTGGCATACCTAAAGACTACTGAGACTAATACATTATCAACTGAATATGTATTTGAGAAAACATACATCCAGCAGATATACTCAATAGTCTTGCTTCAATCTGGACCCAACTGTACTGTTAGGTACAAGCTCAGTATTGCCAAATTTCAAATCAAAACTGCTTGACGTTTCCATGGTCAGACCAAATATTTTGTTTTTATAATAAAAAAACATATGATGGCAACTACATTTTATTGTGCAGATCGTATCGTTAACAAATTACCCTGAGGCGACGATGTTAGCAGTAATTACTTTTGTAGATGTATCTCTCTTCTAAAGCAGAGACTCCTGGGCAGCGACATATAAAACTGTTTTATATGTTTCTGTTTAAAAAGCAAAACTATAGTGAAAGGGGCAGAACAGTATAGGTGAGATTATTCGAAAGTGAAAGAAAGTATTGAGGTAATTTGAGATGTTTCATCGAAATTGGGAGTCGGAATCAAAATAATGGATTTGTGTCCTAAAACTTATATTTGAGATATAGGCTATTTGAAGCAAACAATGCTGCCATCTTTCAAAGATTACGATTAATGACAAAAGCAGATGGTAAATATATTCAATCGATCAAGATGAAACATAACAACAATGAGTCATCATGATACACCATGACATCTCATTTCTTCTCAGGTGAAACAGAAAGATGCTATGAGTATCAGAATGACAATGAGTGCACATTATATACTCCTAAAAAAAGTTAAGGACCAGTATTTTTCCTCATAGGTTTACATGTTAAACCTTATGTATCTTTAAACTTTATTTTCTAAGCCCGAAACGAAAGAAAAACTGATAATGTAAATGTATATGTACATTGGCGGCTCTGTTCACTGTATTTCAGGACATTTTCAATTTAATTTCTCTATTACAATAGGTCAAAAATTGATGTCAAAGTTGAGGAATTTTAAAGAAAATTGCAGAACCCATGTTAACCAATGGGAAATAGAGGGTTAGGGGCAAATCAGATTTTTGGATATGTATTCGGTAAAACATTTATCAAAACAAGACAAGTAGACAAGTTAGCAAATTCAATTGTCTATTTACATTCCATTTTTGAGAGCAGTTGAATTGATGGATATTTTCTCATATGACTTTTGGCAACCCAACCATTTCCCATTGGATTACATGGGCTCTGCCATTTTTTTAAAATTTTCCTCAAATTTGACATCAATTTTTGACATATTGTAACGAAGATATTGAATTGAAAATTTTCTGAAATATAGAGAATAGAGTCAAGGTACATATCCATTTACATTATCAGTTTTTCTTTCGTTTCAGGCTTTGGAAATAGGAGTTCAAAAAGACA